CTCGATGGGCCCGTCGAGCCATGTGAGCACATCGACGTCCTCAGTGCCGAGAGCCCTATGGCCCATATGAGCCCCAATGGCCATTATGAGCTCCATGAGCCCTATTGCCCCTAGGAGCTCTATGAGCCCTATGCGCCCTATGGCCACTCCGAACTCCATAAGCCCTATGACCCCTATGAGTCGTGCGAGACGCATGACCCCGATGGGCCCAATGAGCCCTATGAGCTTTATGGACCCTCCGAGCCCTATGTCGCCTGTGAGCCTACGCCCTTATAAGCCCTCTGAGCCATGTGAGCCCGACGAGCCTCATGACCACTACGAGCCAAGTAAGCCCTATAAGCCCTGTGTCGCCTGTGAGCCTCATAAGCCCTGCGAGCCGTTTGAATTCCATCAGCCCCGCGGGCCTCACGAGCCGCATGGCCTCACGAGCCGCATGGCCGTGTAAGCCCTATGACCCCCACGACCCGGTATGAACCCTATGAGCCTTATGAGCACGGTGGGCACCATGACCCCTATGAGTCCCATGAGAGCCCATGACTTCTGTGTGGCCAAGGCCCCTACGATCCCTAAAGCCCAAATGAGCTCATCAGCCCGAGGAACCCTGTGCACCCAATCACGCCTGCGGGCCCGAGGAACCTCATGATCCCCATGAGCCACGCTGGCAGAATCCTCTTGCCAATGAAGGCTCCGAGCCTCTGAGCCCCAATGGCGGCGGAGGGGCCTTTGACCCCTCTGACCCGGTAGAGCCCATGGGTCCTGTCAGCCTCGCGTGACCAATGGACCCTTTTGGCTCGCGTCACTGGCGTGTACCGTCCGCGGCGGGCCTCTCTGGCGCCATGCGACCAAGATGTTTAGGGCGAAGCGAAGCAAGCGAGTAAAATATTGTGTATACATATGTCTGCATACATATATATAGAGAGAGAGAGAGAAATATGCACATAGATCTATACATATATATATATACACAGCAATAAAAAAATGCTTGGGTGGCGCCGATCCCCCTCCCACCACCCACCCCTCCAGGATCACGCAGCATCGGATCGGGCAAACGGGTCGAAGCGGAATGCAAGTCGAATCGGGCCCGGCCCTGGCTCCGGCCAGCGGAGACGAGGAGTCCCAAGGGGCCACCGCCGCAGGTGGGCTTGACACGGGCCCGTGCGCGCCCAGGTCGGTGGGACATCTCAAGTAAAATGGCCGCTTGTGGCCCCGGGTGAGTTCAGAGTCGCATGGTCACCGCGGCGTGGCATCAGGCACAGATCACCCGCGCTTCGACTTGCTCGTGCCCAGACACTCACAGCAGAAAGCGCCAGAACACGAAATCGCACCACGTGCGGGCGCTTCTGGAGGCCCTCGACCCCGTGGCGCTTCGGCTTGCCCGTGCTCGGACACTCACAACAGAAATCGCCAGAACACGACACAGTGTCACATACGGGCGATTCCGGAGACCCTGAACCCCAACACGCCAACTTCTTGGAGGGCCGACTGTTGCTTCCGCCAGCTTCTGCCAGCCTCTCACCGCCCTGCGCCAGCGGAGCCGCCCCGCCTCCCTTCCGCGGGCCTCCCGCCGCCCTTCCGCCGCCTGCCGCCGAGGAAGGGATGGCAACTCCTTCGACCCTCGAGGGCGAGGCCCTTCTCCTCCTCCTCCTCCTCCTCCTCCTCCTCCTCCTCCTCCTCCTCCTCCTCCTCTCCTCCAACTCCTCCTCCTCCTGCAACTCCTCCTCTCCTCCTCCTCCTCCTCCTCCTCCTCCTCCTCCTCCTCCTCCTCCTCCTCCTCCTCCTCCTCCTCCTCCTCCTCCTCCTCCTCCTCCTCCTCCTCCTCCTCCTCGAGGCCCTTTCTGGAACGCCTCATACGGGGATCCCCGCGTCGAATAGCTCGAGCACGCCGTGCCTCGAGCCTCCACGGAGTGCGCGGCTGCGGCCCCGTCGTCGCCGCGGCTGCACGCGGCTCGAAGAACGGATCCCACGGAAGGGTCCGGGGAACGATTTGGAGCGGAGTGGCTCTCTCTCTCTCTCTCTCTCTCTCGTCCGCCCTCTTGGCCGAGTGTCTCTGCGGTCATCCAGCCCAAACCCCCGGCCGCCTCCGAATTCCTGGCTTCACACTGTTCCCACCCTGTGGTGGACCGAGTTGCTGTTAGCCGTGATGTCTTGCTCGTGTCCAGTGTCAGCACTGCCACTGGTCTCAGGAGCGCCTGAGACGGCCGAGGACGCCGAGGCGGGACCCCCTCGAGTCGACGCGTGCGCGGACCTTGCTTCCGCAGGAGCATCGGGCGCAAGTGAGCGCAGAGCCCACGCCACCCCGTCCAGGGAGAAGCTCGGGGCCGCCTCCCCCCACCTCGAGGCCGCCGAGGGGGACCCATCAGCGCGTCACCGTCGGAGGAAACGCCAGGCCTTCGGGCAGAAAACGAAGGCGCATCACGCTGACGAGCTCCCAACGGCCGCGTGCCACTGATGCTCTGCTTCCGTCCCGAAGCCTGAGGTGCGAAGGTGGAGGTGCGAAGCGCCGGAGTCGTGCGCGCTCCTCTGGGGAGCCCGCCCGTGCCCATCAGGGCATGGCGTAGAGGCCGTGGCCGCGCACATGTATGCTTCGTCCCTGCCCGTCGCCTCGGCGAGGCGCGCCTGCCGAGAAACGGCTCGCGCGGCCTGGTCAATGATCTTCCGAAGCTCATCAAACTTGGCCGGCGTGTGGCCCGTCCCGAACCCCGGAGGAGGAGGAGGAGGAGGAGGAGGAGGAGGAGGAGGAGGAGAGGCGGAGGAGGAGGAGGAGGAGGTGAGGAGGAGGAGGAGGAGTAGGAGGGCGGCGGAGGAGAGGAGGAGGAGGGGGCGGAGGAGGAGGAGGAGGAGGAGGAGGGGGAGGAGGAGGAGGGAGGAGGAGGACGGCAGGAGGCGTAGGAGGCGTGAGGAGGAGGAGGAGGTGGAGTGGAGGAGGAGGAGGAGGAGGTGCAGGTGGAGGTGAGGTGGAGGTGGAGAAGAGGCTGAGGAGGAGGAGGAGGAGGAGGCGGAGGGAGGAGGAGGAGGAGGAGAGAGGAGGAGACCTCGAGGGGGGGGGAGGGGGGGAGGGGGGGGGGGGGGATTCGGTCGGACTCGCGGGACACCTCGCCGACACGTCGGCGCGGGCCCCCGAGGATGGCGGGCTCGCCGTCGGGGCGGCGGCGGGCGCCGGGCCCTCGAGGGGCGACCGCCGGGCGCTTGGGGGTCGGTGCTTCCCCCTGTGCAGCCCCCCCCCTATCCTCTCCTCCTCCTCTCCTCCTCCTCTCCTCCTCCTCCTCCTCCCTCCTCCTCCTCTCCTCCTCTCCTCCTCCTCTCCTCTCCTCCTCTCCTCCTCCTCCTCCTCCTCCTCCTCCACAATTACTCAATATGAAAATACTCTCCCTCTTCCCCTGATGGCGTCCGAATGATGGCCGCGCACCCTCCGCGTACTGTTTTTTTTACACACAGGATTCCCGGGAAATCCCGGGAAACGACTCTCGCTGAGGCGCCGGCGTCATTTGTTCCCAAAATGCTGCTCTCGTTGAGGCACCGGCCTCATTTCTGCTCCCGAATCGTTCCGAATCGTGCTCCCGCTGCAGCGTGGGCCTTATTTTCGGATCGGTGTTTGGCCTCCGTCGTTCAGGATGGCGTTCTCGCCCCAGCGCGGGCCTTTTTCTCGCGCGCCCATCCGCCCGCCACCACCGCGCCGCACACCACCACCACCACCACCACCACCACCACCACAACCAGCACCAGCACCAGTACCAACACCACCACCACCAGCACCACCACCACCGCCACCAGCACCGCCACCACCACCATCACCACCACCACCACCACTACCACCACCAGCACCACCACCACCACGACAACCACGCACACACGCACGCACGCACGCACGTGCACCACCACCCACTACGCACGCGCGCGCGCGCGGAGCCACAGGTCCGCTACGACACGCGTCCACGGATAGAGAAAATCAGCGCCATGGTAAGGGATGGGAGGGAGGGGTAGGACGTCAGATATGACGCGAGCGCACCTAGCTTGCCTCCTCCCCCTCCTCCACCCCCCTGTGCCAGCCCCCCCCCCTATGCTCGAGTCGGGCCTGTCCTCCTACATCCTACAAGGGGATTTTGAACGAAAACTTAAAAATAGTCCAAAAATGCGCACAACATGCCCAGAAGTGCTGAAAACATCGTCCCCAGACTATTGTTTGACTATTTTTGAATAATCTTCCTGTAGAGGGACAGGCCCGACCTAACCCTGTGCGAACGTTTTCTTATTTGGTGTTTCGACATTGGGCGGAAGGGGGGGGGAGGGGGGGGGGTCTGGCTCTGGACCTCTGCTTGACGCGACTGTTTGCAGCAGTGCGTCCTGTGGGTGAGACTCCACCTGCTCGAAACAGGCGTCAGAAACAGCCAAGATCTACTTCATGGGGGGCGGGGGAGGCGGGGGTGCGAGGGCCCGCGCCAATCGGTAAAACAATGAATAAAAAACGATCACTATCGGCGCCGCTGACTGACCCCCTCCTAAGACGAAGCCCAGACAGGGACAAAGTCGGACCAAGACTGATCGGGGATCTCCGAGATCCGCCGGTTCTGGAGGATGCATTGGGCGCCGCGGCAGCTCTAGTGCGCTCCAGAACGCTCTGAGCGCGCTCCGAACGCTCTGGGGCGATCTGTCCTGATGCTGGCCTCGCCCGAGCATCGCCGATGCATATGCGGCGTTAGGATGAAGAAGACCAGGCTCCTTGTCGCGCCGAGTCGCGGATGCAGCGGCGATGCGGCGCGAGCCAACGATCCCATCTACCCAGGCATCTGACGTCGTGGTTTTTCACAGCATGGCTCCCCCTCTTTATCCCGCGAGACGTTTTCTGACGTCCCTGGGGCCTGGCACGGAGTCCCTGGAATTCAAGACCCGGAGCCCCTGGAGTCCAAAAAGGATTTTTTAAAAAAAAAAAAAAAAAAAAAAAACTCCCGTCAAAAACGTCCGAAACCTCCCTGGAGATCGGCTGGCCTGGCTAAGCCCGGGTC